TAGTGTCTTACAAAATAATGTTTATACTTAAAAGAAAATAAACTTCAATTGACCTAAAGTGCTAACATTAATTCACATTAAAATAAGGTCCAAAACATAAAAAGTAAATAAAAAATAATTTTAAAAAATTGTGCTAAGAGTGTGATATATTAAAAAAAACAATTATTGAATAAAATTCTTGTTTAACAAGATCTTTTAGCCAAAAATATGTTATTGTTGCATCTTGGAATCCAAAACAAACAGGAAATAATTTTTTTCATCAGCCTTTTATATTCTCACATATAATAAGGAATACTCTCATTGTTTAGAATCCATAAAATACATGGAAACAAATAAACCTTTAGCTGCTAAAATTAATTAGTCTATGAAATAGATGGATCAAACCCCTCTTATACATAGATTAAGATTTAATTGTTACTTGTTAAAGATATAGCCTCTTTGAAACTCACTTTGACTCAAATACTCTAAATAAGTCAATTAAATAAATCATTGTTCTTGATTATTTGAGGTAGTTTGGATTGAATTATTCTTTCTCTCTTTAAAAGGATTTGACCTTAAATCATTACTTACATCAAATTAAAAAAGATCAAATACATTAAAAGTTGCATTAACATCATACTCATATGATAGATCTACTTTATAAACATTATTATTAATTCTTTCTAGGATTTTGAGTGGATCATCTCCTTTTGGCATTAACTTAGATTTTCTTATATGCACTCAAACCCAATCAACAGTTAAAAGATAATCTATTTATGTCTCTTATTAGCTTTAAATGTATATTGCTCATTTTTTTTGTATATTTATCTGTATACTCTCATAAAAAGCCTTCACTCCCTGTGATTTTCTATTGTCAACAAAACTAATCTTTTTTTTTATCATCAAGTAAATGAATCAAATCTGTAAGAAGTTAAAGGATTAAAGTCATTAACAATTTCAAAAAAATGAATAATTAATATTAAAATGCACATTTCTATTATAAGCAAATTCAACTAATAATGACAATCTTCCTAAGTCTTCAATTCTTTTCAATTATAGTTCTTAATAATGTAATCAAAGTTTTATTAATTATTTTAGTTTGACTATTTTATTAATTATTTTAGTTTGACTATTTATTTATGGATGACAAGTAGTAAAAAATAACAATTTTGTTCCTATCTTACCCCACAAAACCCTTCAAAAATAGTAAAGAAACTTAATAACATGATCAGAAAAAATGCTTCTAAGAACCCCACGAAGTTAAACTATCTCCCTAAAAAATAGGTTCACTATGTTATTTGTATAATTTGTTTTATGATAAAATATAAAATGTGTCATCCTAAAAAACTTATTTACAACCACAAAATTAGAATCTTTACCCTTTTTGAACTAGGTAAACATATAATAAAATCCATAGATATATCAACCCAAGATTTTTTAGGTACTTTTAAAGAAATATACAAATCATGAGATAAAACATTAGACTTAGTGTGTCTACAAGTTACGCATCTATAATAAATTATTTGCACATCTTAGGCTAGTAAAAGTTCCCATGCAAAACTTCTAAAATATTAGCAAACCAAAAGTTTTCTATTAAATCATTCTTATGAGCTCTATGAATAAACAATTCATGTATAGAACAATTAGTTACACATAGTTTTTTTCCTTAAACAAATAACCATTAAACCTATAAAATTTGTTGAATATTGAATTCTCACATGCTTAATAAACATGGCTAAAATCAACATGTTTATCATATAAATTGTTTACATATTCAAATTCTAATAATTTAGCATTTAAAATTGAAAGAAGTACATACCTTCATGATAGTGCATCAACCACTATATTCTCATAACCTTACATGTATTTTATTATATATGGGAACATTTATATGAATTTGACCCACTTGGCATGCCTATAATCCAACTTTCTTTGACCTTTTAGATGTTTTAATTATTCATGATACAAATGAATCATGAATTATTTCGGCCATAAATAATGTTGTCAAATCTCAAATTCCTCGATAGAACATAAAAATCCTTGTCATAAGTAGGATAATTCAATGATGCACCATTGAGTTTTTTTTTTTTTACTAAAATAATCTATAATCCATTTTTTTATTTATTAAAACAACTCCAATACCTATTCTTGAGACATCATATTCAATCTCTTTTGTAAAGTTAAGGTAATGATAAAAATAAAGCAAAATCAAGTTTTCCCTTAACAAATTAAATTAATGCTCTTACTCTTTATCTTATTTAAATCCTATTGACTTTCTAACAATTTCAATCTAATGAGGGGCTAGAATGTTGAAATTTTTAATAAATCTTTTATTAAAGTTAGCAAAATCATAAAAACTTCTTATCTTTATAATCAAAATAGGTGTAAGCTATTATTAGATAGCCCTTATCTTTTTCGTCACAGGCCATTATTTGATAACCCTTATCTTTTTCTCATCTATCTTAATACCTTTTACATTAACATCATAACAAAGAAAGATAATTTTATTAATGCAACATGTTTTTTTTTTAATTGATTTTTTTTTCCAGTTTCAACCTTTAATATTGAGTTGTTTATTGAGCTGCTTTGGTTTATTTAACTTGCTTTTAATATTGGAATTACCCTGGTATCACGATCAAAATGCAGTTTGACGTACTAAACTAAATGAGCCAGGTTGTTTTTTTACCTTTTTTTTTTTAATTTCTTTATTATCATTATATTTTTTATTCATATTATAGAAATTATGTAAACTTATTAAACATAATCAAGTCAATGACTCAAATCTTTTTTTTTTGGAATGCTTACGTAACCTTAGTATTATTTTTTCACAATGTAAAAAATTTGGGTTGGCTCACAATGTAGTACGATTCACTTATTGAATTGATACTACAAAGTGTGTGTTTAATATTATGGTACAAGATATTTTTTAAAGTATCCTTTTTCTTGGAAAAACATTGAAATAGTTTTTTAAAAAATTTTAACATCAACATAGTAAAATCATAAAAAAACACTAAAAATACATCAATTTAAGTGGTGCATAATGTTTTTAAATTATTTTTCTCTTGGAAAAATATTAAAATATTTTTGTTTTATTTTTAACATCAATGTTTAATACTTAAAAGTGTATTTTTATTAAGGTTTTATATCATCATTGTGCACTTGAAGTATGAATAACTCCTTAATTAGAATATGTTTTATAATATCATATCTAATAATATAAAATATTTGAATTCATGGTAAATGTTCATGTTAAATGCGGGCTTATCACATAAATCAATGGATTGATTGATGAGTTTAACTACTAAAATTTAGAAGATAAGAAGATGGTCAAGCTTAGAAAAGATATGCTAATTCAGTCCAAACTGAAATACTGTTCGGTCATTAGATTATAACTGTAGCTGTTGAACTTGCATTTAGTTCTGTTTCATAGGGATAGAAAGTTAAGACATATGTCTAAAATTTTCATGAGTCCAAGATTAAAAAAAGTCATTTTCAAGTTCAAATTGTAACAACAATGAAGAAGTCTGAATCTGTCCTGCAACCCAGACACTATTTATTGTCAAGCCTATATCTCGAGTTTTAAAAATCCAAATGCACTTTTTTTTGCTGAAAAGTTAAGATAATTTTCTAAAATTTTCATAAAAATAATCTGTTTAAATTCTGATGTTAGCAATGATATTTTTATTCAGACAAGAAGATAAAAATTGTCACTAAATCAAGATATGGTCATCTACTTAACAATTAATCAATAAATCAATAATTTTAAATTTTTTAACATCAATATATTAAAATCATAAAAAAACTTAATAAATACATCTATTTAATAACAGATTTATGAAAAGTATCTAAAAGTAAACTTGCGGTTTATTTTAAATTTTGTGTGGGTTCATATTGGTGATGAAATACATTTTATCGTAACTAAATATTTAATTTACGTGATTTGCTTTGAAAACAAAAGTTATCACGGACACTAAGTTCCAAACGGAAAGGCGTCAGTATCTCCGTAGTTCACTGTTCCTTATTTCATACTAGAGTCATGTAATTGAACACGGTAAAGCACGAGATATTGACATGATTGTAGATTTCTGAAGGCATCAATTCTTCTTCGCTGGAGTGCAATACAGCTCATTTCAGCTGTACATAATTTCGTAAGAAAACTTGGAATAAGTGATGGCCACTACAATACGTTTAATTAAACAAATTATTGTCGGCACAGATTTATTTCATCACATTGTTCATAAAGAAAATTCATTATTGTTAAATAGCAATTAAAAGGATGCCCCCTATCTCTTTGGAAAATCTTGCACGAAGAACACCAAGTAATTAATTAATTAAGGCTGAAAATAAAATAATACGGTGGTTAGAGAAAATCAACGAAGACAACAGAGACTTCGTTTTCCCAGCTCAACAAGCCATCGATCTCTCTGTCCACCGACAGAGAGGGGAGAGGAGAGAGTATGCGCACACATGGGCCACAGCCATTGCTGTCGGTGACTGATATTCTCGGTCTTTTTTATGGCTTAATATTTAAACTTTTATTTGTTTTTATTACCAATTGATTTAACATGCGAGGACAGAGATCTGAGTCTCATGCCGAGGTTTTTTTTAATGTAAGAATATATTTTCGAATTAGGTGGTATTTTTTATATAGTTTATGTGTTAATTAAAATTAATTTCTTAAAAATACTTTCTTTAGAATATGAAATGGGTATACCAAACTTGAAAAACAAGCAATGAGGATCAATCTTTCTTTCTTAGCTAACCTTTATTTTTACCCGAATTAAGAAAGTGACTTTCTTTTTTAATAGCTCGGAGAAAGGGAAAAATGCATGTTAATTAAGTGCTTTGAGGATCATATAATTAGTCCATTAATTGAACTTATCTTTCTTTAATATGGTAATTTTCGTTAATGGTAATTCAAGCTTGGAACTCTTTAACGAACTACAGTTAGTCCCCTCCCTACCCTTGACAGCCAATAATTAAGTATTTAACCTCTCTCGGATTTTTTAAACTCCTACTTGTCTTCCACAGTTATCTCCTTCTCTCTCCCTCTTTCTGCTTTCATGCAGATCTTGAGCTGAACCAGAGGCATAAGCATCCCATTTTCAACACATCAAGAAATGGAGCCTTCTTCCTCATTAGTCACTGTATCCGTTCCCAAGATTTCCGCTTTTACCATTTTGCTTCTTTTCTTGATTTCGTGCTCCACTCTCACTTCTACAGGTCAATTTTCTTCTTTTGCTTCACTTTCTTGTTTCTTGAATTGGAAATGCTCGCTTTTCGTTCTTTTTTACTTAATTATTTGGGTTTTGCTTATCTTGCTGTGAATTATTGGTAAAATTTGAAAGACTGCAATCTTATGACTAAGAAGCACAAATCTGTGGTTCTATTCATACATTCAACTTAAAGATCTTGGAGTTTCATTATGTATACCGTCTTTAACACATAAGATATGGTTAAATATTAGTCTTTTGTTTGTTGTAATTCTAATTTCTAAGAGATGCACAAGAAACTGAAATCATCTTTATCTTGGACCTGGATGTCTTTTAGATTGCTCTCTTGCCTTCGGTTTTCTCTCTTCCGCTGCAATTCAGACTTTGATCTACTTTTTATACAGTATCTGCCTCAGTTAATGAGAATCTTAAGGGCTAAAGTTTTCATCTTTGCTTGATGTACTTGCAGAAGCTTATGACGCTCTTGATCCAAATGGGAATATCACTATCAAATGGGACGTAATACAGTGGACTCCAGATGGCTATGTTGTAAGTGCTAGCTAGTACATGATGCAATATCACATTTAGTGGATTTTTGGGTAGCAGAATCAAGCACTCCAATGATCTACCCTTTCCGGTCTCTTGAAGTTCCTCCTCGAAATCTTTTCCCTGGACTTTCTCATGTCTGTTGTTCTCATTTGCAGGCAGTTGTTACAATGTATAACTTCCAGCAATATCGCCACATTCAGGCGCCGGGTTGGACTTTGGGGTGGACATGGGCAAAAAAGGAAGTGATCTGGAACATGATGGGAGCCCAAACCACCGAACAAGGCGATTGTTCAAAATTCAAGGGAAACATACCGCATTGCTGTAAGAAGGATCCAACTGTTGTGGATTTGTTGCCAGGAACCCCTTACAACCAGCAGATTGCCAATTGCTGTAAAGGGGGAGTGATAAATTCGTGGGCACAGGACCCAGCCAATGCGGTGAGTTCCTTTCAAATTAGTGTTGGTGCAGCTGGAACCACTAACAAAACTGTTAGGGTGCCAAAGAACATCACCTTGAGAGCACCAGGGCCTGGATATACTTGTGGGCCGGCAAAGATTGTGAGACCAACTAAATTTATATCGGCTGACAAAAGGCGAATCACTCAAGCTTTAAGTAAGTTATTGTCCCAATTCTTCGAGAGTGATTGAGCGATTCATTACTTTGAATGTATTTTCTGGTGTGGACAACTGATCTAGTACCAAGATAATGCCTCTGTTTTTAGCGTGTGATATTAATATGGTGACCCTGTGATTATCAGAAACGTTCCCACAAATCTCTAGTTTTGAATTTTCTTAGCTTCGAAACATCATGTGATACTAGCATAGTATCTGTTTGCCAAAACTTTTCTTGATTGTAGTTGGTCCCCAGAAATACGCTGCGTTGTTATAGTGATAATTAAGCTTGACATGGACTAGAAGTTGAAGTATGGTGTCACTACTATGAACCATCACACTCATATAATTAATAGAATTCTCTGGGTGGAAGAATAACAACCTAAGTTTATCTAACATTGTATGTTATTGCAGTGACCTGGAACATTACTTGCACTTATTCACAATTCCTTGCTCAAAAGACACCTACCTGTTGTGTTTCTCTCTCCTCCTTTTATAATGACACAATAGTAAGCTGCCCAACTTGTGCTTGTGGCTGTCAAAATAGTACGACTGGAGCTGGGAGTGGAACCTGTGTGCAGTAAGTTCATTTGTCAATTTATTGAAAACTTGAATTCCTGTTTTCTCTGTCGATTTTTTCAACTCAGTTCTGCTCTGCACATTCTTTTTTCCCCTTATATTTTTCTCTTCATGTGTTTTTTCAGCCCGGACACTCCACACTTAGCCTCAGTTATTTCACCTCCTGGAAAATCTGACAATACACCGTTGGTCCAGTGTACCAGCCATATGTGTCCAATCCGAGTCCACTGGCATGTTAAGCTCAATTACAAGGAATATTGGCGGGTGAAGGTTACAATCACCAATTTCAATTACCGAATGAACTATTCACTGTGGAATATGGTTGTGCAGCACCCGAACTTTGATAACCTAACCAAGATTTTTAGCTTTCAGTACAAGTCACTTACTCCTTACGAAGGGCTAAGTAAGTCACCAAACTTGCTGTGCCTTTGTGTAAACTTGTATGGTTCTCTTTTTACTTGTGTCTGAGATTTATCTATATGATTTTATTTTGCAGATGATACAGCCATGTTATGGGGTGTCAAGTTCTACAATGATTTTCTCTCACAAGCTGGTCCTCTCGGGAATGTTCAGTCAGAGTTACTGTTCCGGAAGGACAAATCTACTTTCACTTTTGAAAAGGGATGGGCTTTCCCTAGGAGGATTTACTTCAATGGTGATAATTGTGTCATGCCACCCCCGGATGCCTACCCATGGTTACCAAATGATAGTTCTCGCCCAGTTATCTCTCTACCTCTTCCAGTCATGACATTGTTTTTGTCTATGGCATTCCTATTTGCTCATGTGTGATGAATCATGTCTGTGCCAGTCTTTAAACTATCTGTTGTTCTAGCAATCAAGAAATCCCATCTTGTTTGAGTTACAGTGCTGGGATTTAAGGGAATCCAGTCAAAGGCTTGAATGTGTAAGATCAGCAAGTTATGGCAATGCAAGTGGATTTGGAGCACCATAACCATGTTACCACCAATATGCTAGTTGGCAATCAGAAATCTTTGGTCCCGTTCTCTTTTTTATATTGGGAATTAGTGGTTCTTCTACATGTTTATTTATGTTGTACACTCGATCATTTTGTTTGTGGAATATCAACATATTATTTGTTCGTATCCTTGTAACAAGGAACTCCAGGAAGAATTTACAGCTGATAAATGGATTTTTATTCGTAGATTTTTTTGAAGTAGTTGTGCATGTTTATTGTCATTGCTGTATGCCAAACACGAATGATATGCTAAAAGTTTTAGTGGTAATAAACATGTTCAGACAGAAAAGTAAGAAAGGAAACGATTTTGTTTTGAGTGGAATATAGCTCTAGTTTGATCATCACAAGTTCAATCACTCGCTCAAAAGAATAGTACAGCTGAATGTAACCACACCTGGTTATAACTTATAGTTCGCAGGTGAGGGTTAATGATGATAAATGTACCTCTTACAAAAACGGTGTCTGGCTTTCAAAACCACCATGTATATGATCTGCTGCAACAACATCTGAAAGTTATAATTTTCCTCTGCTGGTCACCCCATCGACAGCAATATCAGGAGCAATGAAGCTGCCATTGACAGAATTGAAATTGGATATGCACATGCTGAACTAGGCAGATATGGATATGTGTCAGGTGGGGGAAGCATGCATTCATCACCATTGAAGTAGACCTTCCTTGGAAATGCCCATCCCTGCTTCAGGCTAAAAGTGTTCTTGTCCTTCTGAAGAAGCACCTCAGATTGGACATTTCCAAAAGGGCCAGCTTCCATTAGAAGGTCATTGTAGAACTTCATGCCATAGAACATACCAGTATCATCTGCACAAAATCAGTTCCATGTGCTTATCAACTTCATTCTGGAGTTTCAAAATCAGAAGAACTTCATAAGCTTTTTATCTGAACTTTAATTTTATGCACCTACTTATGGATTCATAAGGTACGAGAGGCTTGTAATCAAAGCTGAATACTTGAGTGACATTGTTGAGATTTGGATGCTGAACAACAAGAGTCCACTCTGTGTAGTTCATCCGGTAGTTGAAATTAGTTACCGCAACCTTTGCGCGCCAATAGTCTCTGTAATTGACCTTCACATGCCAATGCACTCGAATGGGGCACATATGATGTGTGCATTGTAGCAATGGTGTGTTATCCTTCTTTGGCGTGTTTATCCCCTTTTTATGGGATTCCTTCGAGTTACTCCTGCATTTTTTTATATCCAGCAGCAAATTTACGTTTCAAATAATGAACACATACCAGCCTTCATAATTAGCTCTATTAGCATGCAGCTATACTTGTATTTACACACAACTATATCAGTTAATGTCATTGTGGAACTAGAGACGAGAGTGACGCGGAGAAACCAAATCTGTAAGCCTTACTTGACACAGTTTTTCTTGTTCTGGCAACCGCAAGCACAGGTTGGGCAAGGAGTGATTGTTTCATTGTAGAAAGATGAGAATGAAACGCAGCAGGTTGGATTTTTGGAGGCCAGAAACTGTGAGTAGGTGCAGGTGACATTCCATGTCACTGCATAAAGAAAAATTACACTTGTAATGCGCAAATTGCAACAAACTAAAACATAAGATGTTCAGAACAAGCTTGGAGGAAATAAACTTACTGAGGGCCTGGGTTTTTCGTCTACGATCAGGTGTTAGGAAGACCGTAGATGGCACTACCTTTGCAGGTCCACAAGTATACCCTGGTCCTGGACCAAGCAAAGTGAAGTTCTTGGGCAGTTTCACTGTTTTATTTGATGTTCCGGCAAGTCCAACGCTCACCTGAAAGGCTGAGACTGAAGCTGTAGGATCCTGGCCCCATGCTGCGATCACACCGCCCTTACAACAATTGGAGTATTGCTGGTTGTAAGGGACTCCAGGTAGCAGGTCGACAACCGTGGGGGTCTTTTTACAGCAATGCGGTATGTTTCCCTTGAACTTAGAACAGTCTCCTTGCTCTGTAGTTTGAGCCCCCACCATTGACCATATCACTTCTTTCTTAGCCCATGACCATGATAGAGTCCAGCCAGGGCTTATAATGTGCCGGTACATTTGGAAGTTGCTCATGGTTACTGTAGCCTGTGAAAGAAAACACGATTGTGAGTTATTTTCATTTAGTTTTTGTCACATCTTTACCTAAGAAATAGTGAGCTTGCATCTGGAACTCCGAAAGAATGAGGAAAATAAATGTCGACAAATACTCAAGCAACGTCCTTTCTTTTTTTCTGTGATCAACGAAAGCAAGGAAATAGGGAAAGGGAATGAGATCCTGAAGGTGGTGCATGCTCTTGTTTGATTTCTATTGTTGATGGCTGAATAGCAGAGGAGACAAAATCAAAGCTTGAAACCTAATTCAGGCTAGGTTTCAAAACTTAAGCAAGGCTGCCTTATTATTATTCTGGATTTGTTCTGTTTCCTTGATCAAGTCTTTTTGAGATACTTGGGTAATATGGTTTGCGAAACATGAGAAATTGAAGCAGAGGAGAATTTAGTGCTGCTGCCATATGATCAGTCAACTATATGCAGAGTGTTCTGCATAAGAAACACACACACACACACACACACACACACACACACACACACACACACACACACACACACACACACACACACACACACACACACACACACACACACACACACACACACACACACACACACACACACACACACACACACACACACACACACACACACACACACACACACACACACACACACACACAGAAAGACATGATACTCACCACATAACCGTCTGGTGTCCAGGACATTACATCCCATTTGATTGTTATGTTTCCATTTGGATCCAATGGGTCGTATGCAGCTGCAATGGTGACAACAAAGCGAGACAGAAAATGAATATAGATCAGGACTTGATGTCACGAAAAACAGTGAAGAAAATCCATTTTTCAAGTTTATTATCCTGAGAGAGAAGCCTAGAGTCTATACCTGCACGAGAAACTATCATGAAAACTAGAGCAATCAAGAATATGAACTTCATTTCAGCCAACAAAGAGCGTTGCAGGGATTGATAACAATCTTTGGCAGACTTATCGAATTCCATGGTGTCAAGGTCACCTGACCAGTCGTAGCTCTTCACCAATGATTTAAAAGGCACGAGAATAAGATGAAATTCTTAGCAGCATTATGTTTAAAAGGAAAATTGTAGGCTTTTAAAAATGAAAATGAATGCTTTGCTTCTTGATGTCTCACCTACTGGTTGTTAGGCCGCAGATACGCACACAACACCTTTCTACACCAGGTTTCCTGAATCTTGAAGCAAAGCTTTGGTGAGAAAATGATGGAAAAGCTGGCGCGAGAGATTTTAAGAGGTTTGAACACAACAGCTCAACCGTTCTTCCCTTTCAAATTACTACTATCGTTCACATACTTGCATGTTTGGGCTGCTTTGAAAACAAGTCTTCTCTTCCAGTGACTTCTTACCATTTCTCTCCTGGGTCTTCTTCACATGGTGACTTTCTTACCGCCTTCACCACTCTGGATCTTTTGGGTCTCCAATTTTGTTGTTTGAGTAACCTCTACTACACGCAGGCAAGGTTTACCCATCCATGCCATTGAAATTAATAGGACCAAGCTGGTTGCTTGTTACCATCCAATACCAAGGAGTCATACATATATATATATATATTGCCACCGCATTAAGATATTTGTGGAAACAAGATGCACCAGAACTTGTAATCAGATCTATCATGCATACGTATATCTGCTAGGGTTCATCACGCATGGTGTCAGGTTGGCCCAGTAGCATTAGCTTCTTTATTATTATTGAAACGTGCCTTGCTCTCTGATTGAGTTCTTCTACTCTTCATTATATTTCATTACTGTTTCTACGTTGTAACCCGCTGTAGTTCATCAAAACCTCATCCTAAATGCATAGCACTTGCTATATATAGAGATACTTAACCGAACAAAAAGAATATGAGGTTCCAATCAAAATAATTGAAGGAGTACAAGGACCAGATAAATGGGCAAAACCCCCCTTGAAATGCATGCAATAACACCAAACTGCAATATGGGATCAATTTAGGCCATCTAATCAAATACTAGAGGGGAAAACTCCAAGAAGTTAACTTCTAAGCAATCTAAATTATGCTAGTATATGCAAGGGATTTTCCATTCCATGAATTTGAATCTTTCAGCTGCCAAATACGAAATCTCAACTTTGAAGAGGAATTTGGAATGCAGAACATCTTATTCAAGAGAATTGGATTTCTGAATATTGATGTGTACTTGTACGTTCCCATTTTGGAAGGTAGAAAATTGTTTCCAGAGAAAAGCGGGTTCCATTGTAGAAAAATTAAAACGAGTCTTAAATTCTCTATACAAGGTACATTTTACAAACTTGTTAACAACTAGTAGCACCCTCAAGTTCCCATCTCCCCGAAGAGCACAGCACAGCACGGGGACATATCTGTTGGTGAAATAGAATCGAACATTTAACCTGTTTACTCGAATTAATTGTTACGGTTCAATGATCACCAAAAGACTAGCAACTCTAGAACGAAAAATGCAGAAAAAAGAAATGATAATCCAATCACATTTTTTGGGGCAGAATTAGGTAAGTATGGGTAATCGTCAGGAAGGGGCATCACACATTCATCCCCATTGAAGTAGACTTTTCTCGGGAAAGCCCATCCCTTGTTCAATGTAAATGTGTTCTTATCCTTCTGCAGAATCAACTCTGACTGGATATTTCCATCTGGGCCGGCTTCCATTAGGATATCATTGAAAAACTTTACACCGTAAAACATTCCAGAGTCATCTGCATAAATATCATCATACGGAAACACTCAGCCTAACTTCAACAAATACCATGTAAATAAAGAAGGAAAATTACAATTCAGAAGAAGCACCACAAGTAAGATAGTTGAATTGCTAACTTTCTCACTAGAATTTCGCTTACTTGCTACAGTTACCATGCTAATTTTCACTGAAATGTTCAGCATTTCCTAGTTTATGCATGGTGTCATAAGCATAATAATTCTAGTAGTGAAAAAGCATTTGAAAGCCTTGTTCAAGTGTTATTATATATGGACTTACTTGCTGATTTATATGGCAAGAGTGGCTTGTAGGCAAAGCTAAAAACTTGAGTGATATTGTTAAGATTTGGATGCTGAGCGACAAGTGTCCATTGTGTGTAGTTCAGGCGGTAGTTGAAATTGGTGATGGAAATTTTCACTCGCCAATACTCCTTGTAGTTCAACTTCACATGCCAATGCACACGGATAGGACAATTGTGTTTCGTGCATTGCACTAATGGGGTATTATCTTTCGTTGGTGTTTTTAGTCCTACAACGCTTTGAATCATCGAATCACTCCTGCATTATGTGAGAGAGTTCTTTATTATGAAGATATCCTAAAATATCAATGCAAATGTTCTTGAGTCTTCAGGAAATTAATAACATCGAATTGCCAATATCTTCTTCACATTAACTAGTGGTTGCAGACATGCAATTTGGTGTGTAGAGTCAGAACACTGCAAAACCATGTAGCAGATTCCGAGGAACGCAAATAGATATGGACAAAGATGCAGTGTACATGTGCACAAATATAGTATTTAGTAGATGAAATGTAAATGTGACTCAGTAATGCAGCTTGTTGTGTATTTGATGGTTTCAAAGAGTCTTACGGAACACAAGTGCTGTTGTTCTGGCAGCCACAAGCACAAGATCGACAAGGAGTGATGGTAGAGTTGTAAAAGGATGACATCGATACGCAACAGGTTGGATTCCTAGACGCCAACATTTGCGAGTATGTGCATGTCACATTCCATGTCACTGAAAATAACAAAAAAAGGATTAAAATGATGATAATTGTGGAAGCTACTGTAACTGCTTTGTTGCTTAGGCAATTGAAATGTTTTGATTCCAAGGTTTTTCATGAAAAAAAGTGTAACACAACAGTAGCTGATTGAGTTTCCCATCTTGAAATGATCATCAACCAACAATTTCATCATTAACAACAATGAATCTTCTGGTTTGTAATGAAAATAGATTAGTTTTTTTTCATTGTCAATAGAACTTCTTATCCTGGGAAGCAGACTTACTCATTGCTTGAGTTTTTCGACGGCCGTCAGGAGTTGGAAAGACAGTGGGTGGAACAATTTTTGCTTGGCTGCAAGAGTAGCCTCGTCCAGGACCGAGCAAAGTGAAGTTCTTCGGCAATCTTACTGTTTTGTTAGTAGTACCAGAACGTCCAACACTCAACTGAAAAGAAGAAACTGCTGCTGAAGGGTCCTGTCCCCATGACGATACCACACCACCTTTGCAGCAATTGGCAATTTGTTGGTTGTAAGGCACCCCTGAAAGCATGTCAACGACAGCAGGACTCTTCATACAACAGTGCGGGATGTTCATTCTGAACTTGGAACAGTCTCCTTGCCCAGTGGCTTGAGCTCCCACCATTGACCAGATAACTTCTTTCTTAGCCCATGTCCATCCTACGGTCCAGCCAGGACTCATGATGTGACGATACATTTGGAAGTTGGTCATTGTCACCACTGCCTGAAAAGTCACACAAGTAATTTTAAATCTTCTCAAGCATTTATATCAGTGCAATCTGTCGAAAAATTCTGTTCATTAATTTCCTAATCTGCAGCTATTTTAATAAGCATTAAGAAATGTTAATGAAAGATGGTTACTTACCACATAACCATCTGGAGTCCATGAGATAACGTCCCATTTGAGCGTTATGTTCCCAGTTGGGTCCAGATAGTCATATGCCTCTGAAATTGCAAATAAATTACAGTTCAAAAGACAACAAATTAGTGGTACATCAGAGCATGAATAGAGTTGAAAACCCTGAGCAGAGGCTATAGTACCTGCACGAGAGAATACCAGAATAAAGAAAAGAGCAGAGAAAAATGGGGATGAAAATCTATCAAAATCCATGCCGCAAGTTCTCTAGTATCAGAAACCTTTACGATGAAGATACAAGGGAAGGGGAACTAGCATCAAGCTGATGAAGGCTTGAACCAGTTCATGAACTCCTTAAATCAAACTCTCACCAACCAGCCTTGTTGCAAGTTCGTGTCATTTTCTTGACAAGTTTACTTTTGTACATTATGTGCGTGTCCATCCAGGTCTGTTACAGAAAATCTTTGTTTAGGATTGACCAAACCTCATCTGATGTAACCCTCCAATGGCCATTGCATAGCTGGAATTACTTGGATACCGGTTCATAGCTCAGACGGCAAGCAAGGATGGATGTAGGGGAAGGACATTGTTGTCAATGAATGATCAGGAGAAGCATTCAAAACTACAAGATTAATTTTAAAAATGATCTCCGCCATTTATTTATTTAAACTCCTGTTTCTTTGGTTTTGTCCGTAAGAGGGGCCTAAAGATCTTGGTAGGAGCTGGAACAAGCAGTCAACTCCCCTCATGAGAATGACTTGTCAACAGTTCTCTCGGGCCACATTATTTCAACAGAGATATAGTTTGTTTATTTAGGCCTCCTTAGAGGTTGGTCTCTCTGTATCACCACGCCACCGTCAGGCCTCTGTATCACTTTACAATTTCAACCAGTCAATGGAGCACACAGGGGTTAAGCTCTTTGCAAATTCAAGCTCAATTGGATGAAATTGCCAAGTTATGTAAAACATGCTGTTGTTTTTAAATTGATTTTAATTCAAAATTATTTATGGTAAATAACTTCTTGAAAAAATAATTATGTTAAACTAAAAAAATGGCTCAAAGCAACTACTTTTAAATATAATTTTTAATAATAATAATAATAAACGAATATATGTAAAGGGAGAAGTAACCATCTAGCCTCATATAAAATTTATAATTTGTGAATGAATTTATTGATATTGTTGTTAAGAATAGAATAACGTTATCAAAGAAAAAACCTTCTAATTAAATATAAATGTTCAGTGGTTCCACTAAGGAACATCGAAAGATACTTCCTATCTAACTCAGTTGAAAACTAAAAGATTGAGATTGAATAGAATCAATCAATAATAATGGTTCTTCGTTCTTTAGGAGCTGGAAAACGTGCCCAGGGTTGCAATTGAGTTTGTAGTCTATTTCCCCCTCCTATATTATATTAATTGAGACATTTTGAATGGCTTAATTACTCATAGCGACATCACTCTGAGCCCCACGTTTCAAGCTTCTGATCTTGTATTTTGTCATGATATTTACTGCGTTGAATGATGGATTTATTTTCTAGATTGAGGAAATTTTAAATGTATGTGGATTAATTATAAAATTATAATTTAAATGAGTTGTTATTTAATATTATAATTATTAGAAAATTTATTGGTTTGTAAGAATTTAAATAAAAAAGTTAGCCATACATAAAAAAGATATATCATCCTAGTATATTTTATCAATGATAAATTATATTATTGATAAATATATTTTTAAGCCATGATTTTATTATATTTTTATTTGTAATATTTTTCTTAATAAAGATATTTTTATTTTATTATATTAAAATTTAATAATTCTAAAATCTAAGATTTAACAGTTTATTTATTTTATTTTATATATTTAATATCTAGGATTTATTTTATAGTATAATTTTATATATTTAAATATTAAAATCTATAATTAATTACTAATATTTTATTTTTGTTAATTCATTCAGTTTAATAACAGGAATATACATTTCATCATTAGCATTAAGAGGGAGAGAGGATGGGGTCATCATGGTTATTTTTAGAAAACGAAACTCAACTTGGGTTTGCTAATACATAGTGGCTGGATCTCATGGTGGTGGGTGGGTAGAAAAAAGGTTGTGTTATGGTGATTGATGGTCGTGGGTATGAGGTTGTTAACACTGACATGGAGATCCTGAGACAGGGTGCTCGACATCTTGAATGGAAGAGAGAAGCAAAATTTATTTGAGGTTGTGGATAGTGAGGGTTGATAGTTCGGTCAGTAAAAATAACAGAGAGAAAGAAGCTATGGGTTAAAAGGGTTAACGCTTCAATGGTCGATGGATGGTTTGGGAAGTGAAGCTGGTTATCGATGGTGCCATTCATGGTGGTGGGTGGTGGCTGTTTGTTTTGGCAGTCAAAACTGAAGCTTGTGGGAAATGCTTTTCTTTTGCTTTAAAAGAGGGTGCTAGGTTGTGGCTTTAGTCACTAGAGGAGAAGGATGGGAAGCTAGAAGATGAAGGAGATTGGTTTTTAATTACTGTGAAAGCGGTGTGCTGAGAAATGAAGCTTTTCTTTTATATTTTTGTTTATAAATGGATGTGTTACAGACTATGAGCATGCAAGTGGGTCATTGTTTTGGGTGAGAATCTTTATTGTTTTTTCTTTTTATGAGAGAGAGTGTTTATTTTTTTTACTCTAACTAATTTCTCCTCAATTGTCTCCATCTTGTGAG